CAATGCAACAAACTTTCAGTGCAAAGCAAACGCTGCATTTCTGCCATGCGCTGTCCGTGGTGCTGAACAGAGTTTGTGTGCACGAGGCAAAACAAGCAAGAGTTTGATGGGAAGCATGGCACTGTCTCTGTGATTAATTTTTGATTCGTATGTGTTATGGCAATGGTGTGAGTTAGGGCTGTGAAAAAAATTAGAATTTCGAATATTTGTCGAATTTAAAATAAAAATCCACATTCATTTTAGTTGTGCATTAAGGAGGCAGCCTTATCAGTGGCGCACGAGATGCGATGACGATGTAAGTGTCGTTACATTATAATGTTCTTGTTAGCCTATCACAGTTACTCATTGCGTGGTTTGCCAAGCTTTACTTTGTGGCTCGCATGGCATCAAATAATACGATGATATGATTGTGCAGTCAATACAGATATTTCATAAAAACATTAAAAACAAGCAGGGCTATAACATAACCCATAAAAAAAACTCACAACATGTCTACCCCGGACGTGAGTGGCGCGATCCAACAAAAGACAATAGAACCCAGTGATGTTGTCTACACTGAATGCGGCGCGATGCGATGCGATGCGATCCCCATCAGTAAACTGATGCCTCGTTCTATTTATGACGAACTATACTGACACTACGTTCAGAAGATTTGCAACTGTTGCTTTGTCACATCGTGTAGACAGACTTTTAGCGCAGCGGGGCGTGGCACGACACGACAACTGTTGCATCCGGTGTAGACACGGTCAGACACTCTCTGCTCTATTACAAATCTTTTATATAAAAAATTAAAATAACTAAAACAGCGGCATTACAAGATGGAAATATAGACAAAAAATATATTTACACTTGCTCTGTCCTACGTCCATGACACTCCTGACTTAGTTTTAATCTAAATAGTTCTTAACGCCGAATGTGCACTTGGATGGTTAGATACAAGATGGGCTAGTATAAAAAAATTTAATAACTTAAGTCCTTCAAGCATTAAGGTAATCCTACTTTTTTTTAAAATCATCTTGTCTCAGTTACAAATCTGACTGGTAAATGATAAAGAATGATAGCCCATTTTGTATTGCATTGCATTGCATATCAGGGATGACAGATTGATAAAACTGTTTGTGACTGGATGCTATTTATGACTGGATGTAACTTTTGATACTTCGCAGTAAACGTGGCTCTCTGATTGACTTTGTCCTATCAGTGCGGCTCCCATGAAAAAAATAGTGAAGCCACTAGATGCGGAGCTGCTTCGTTGTTCATTAAAAATATTGCGGAAAAAGAGAACATCAATGCGGAGAAGATCTTGTTTACATCAAAACTGAAACAAAGCCGTTCACACAGAACACATATTTCGCACATTTTCTAGAGGGTCATCTATCACCGTTGCACTCGCATCTCGCACAAAGGAACCGCATGTTTAGAAAGCCATGTAAAATTAATGCAAGTTTAACTTTGAAAAAACATATATCGAGACTTTATGGCGGGGTTTTTTCCCCATCCCACTGCATCTCATGTTCTTAAATGAAAAATGTACTCTGTGTGATTGGCTTTCCGCCCTTTGTATTAAACTATGCATACATACATGATGCTGTTTTGTTTATAGTTGTTTAAGCAACTTAATTAATTATAATTGGTTTATAAACATTATTTTAAACATTACAACTTTTTTTCACAGATAGTCGTTATCTTATGCTTTGAATAAACGTGCATTAGTAATATTTTGCTCGATGCACCCTCTTGTGGCCTCAGAGGAGAAGCCAAAAGCTATTCTTCACCATAACTGAAATTATGCATTTTGATAACATTTAAGTACAAAATTCGATTTTAGTTTTTCAGCCATTTTGACAGCCCTAGTGTGAATGTGCTATGACTAAACGTGTGTGAGGATGGGGGAGGAACTAAATATAGAAGAACACAAAACACACACAATGCTCTCTCAGACAGTAGGGTGGGGTGGGGGTGGAGGCCCTTCTGCATAGTGTGAAAATAAATATTAGCTGAATAATATGGGTTTTTCAATGGCTTAATACAAAACCCAATACAGCCGCTCCAACATTATTAGGACACATAAGCCACTTTTACAAATGTATAAATGTCTTTGCAGTAGATGAAGACATCGTTAGGGATGCACCATATAGCAATACCATATAAGTCATTAGCTGATATTAGGGACTTTGTTTTTATTATCATATCATATTATTTTATTGATTTTGGTTAATACTGGATGTTTAATTGTGTACACTCATCTCTGCTTTTTCATTTTAAAGCCATCTAATGCTTTTAAACAGGTACATTTCCTACACTGTTTTTTTGACTTGGTTGCCTTTTTGAATGATTCATTGTGTTAATAATGTTGCTCTAATAGTTATGGATACAAGCTGTCAGAATTAGCACACCTTGCATCGCACACACACACACACACACACACACACACACACACACAACGGACACACAATTTGCATGCTGACAGACCCCCAACTGCAAAATCCTTTAATCCCTT